ATATATATATCAAATATGTGATGTAGTTCAATTTATATTACATGAATCATTTATACAAAAATAGATTAGAACTTCTTGAGAGTGTAGTTGCAACGCTAAAGTTGAATTATTTTTTTTAAATTTAAGAGATTGCGTTTTTGACTAATATGGTAATTTAAGAATTTTTTTGTTGTAGGAAATACGCTAAGGTTGAATTTTTATATCACATATTTGATTTAAAAAGAACTGATTCGACGTGAAAATTTTCGGGATAACAGCTGAGAAATTACTCTATTTATTGAACAATTTAGTTCATGCCACATCGACTGAAAAAATCCTACAAAAAAAAAAAAAAAATCTCAAATACCATATTAGCCAAAAACGCACTCTCTTCAATTAAAAAAAAAAAACAAAAAAAATACACCGTAGCGTTGCGACTGCACGCTCCAAAATAATAACATTTAAAAAAAAAACAAAAACGTATTTCGATTAACATTTAATCTTTAGTGTCCCGCTACTGCCTGGATTTACTAAAAAACAAATTAATTTCCATGCCTGAGGATGGCTGTATGTAAAGCTCAAAGTACCAGCAAAATAAAAAAATAGATCTTATACAACTTGAAGTTATTAAAAACAAGGATCATAACATTCATCGAGAGGTTTTTGGGTTAATGTAACTTTAATAAATTTGTTTGCGAAGATGTTTTTCGCCATTTATATCATTAACTTTACTAATCTACTTTTTGTATGAATGATTCATATATATATATATATATATATATATATATATATATATATATATATATATAAGCATTTCACTCCAAGCAAAGCGGAAGTACCACTAGCACGCAAGTGGTTACAGAGAGTGAGAGCAAGAGTAAAGTGGGGGGTGTTTGAGGAAAGGATAAAGAGAAGGACGGGGATCAAGATCAAGGGATCAGAAGATGTCGATTGACATTACATTTGAATATTTGAAGATATCAGGGAACAAGTGGCAGGAAGCGAGTTCCAATATCTGGAAGTGCGAGATAAGAAGCTGTTGGAGTAAAAGAAAACGGCTACATTTAACCGTTTCGACAGTGAAAGGATGGGACCGAAATGCCAACCATGTAGCGTGTTTAAATTCAGGCAGTTTGGGAACCAGCGAAAGCAGCTCGTCAAAGCAGTTGCCATGGAAATATTTTTTAGAAAAGCCTGAGGGAAGACGCCATACGTTTGTGAGAAAGCGACTGTAGACGTGATGCCAGATCAGGACTTATCTCATTGCATATCCGTCTCTGGATTTTGGCGAGGACCTCGAGATGAACAGCAGGGGCACCAGACCATATATGGCGACAGTAGATAATTATAGTTATTTATCATTATAACTATATAACTGTAAGTAGTATTTATTTATAAGTATAACTAATTGTGACTATATTGTTCGGACTTTTGTCCTAATTCTATATTTATTGTTATATTAATTGCGTTTCGGCAGTTATTGCTATTTTTGTTTGTATTATCTCTAAAACTTTGTCGTTGCTCAAATATTCAGTCCATGGTATTCTCAGCATCCTCCTGTTGAACTACATTTCTGCCGCTTCAAATTTCTTTCCTGTCTGTTATGAAATTGTCCAGCATTCAATACTATATATGGTAGCGAATGTTGCTTTTGAAATATTTTTTGATAAAAAAAAAAAAAGATTACGGGGATGCATAATAAAGATTAATAATAATCCTTATTATGCATCTCGTTAATCCGCAGGAAAAGCAGAAAGACCTATTCACCATTAAGCTCCAATATTACTTACTTTCTACTATTAATCACCCTTCGTACGACTTGCTCCAGCAATCTTCTTTTTACTGCCCCCGTCTCGGGAGCCGTTCTTAATGATCTAAATGGGTCGTACACCTGCAAAACAAATCGTCATATAGATATCAAATGTCTCTTTCTCGCTCTTTGATTGCACACCGATGCGTATCCAATGCTGTTAATCTCTGATCAACGTCCACCAGTCATTAACGAACTTCACCCGGATTTTTAGTTTAATCTCGACGTCACACCCTTCATTCGTTCCCGAAACATCGTGTAAAATTGTTTTCTACTTAGACAACGTTACCGTTGAAGAAGTTTCCGTTAGCAGCTGAAGATCCTGACGTCCGATAATTCTCTCTCTACTCAGATCAGTTATCTTGCATTTAATATCAAAGATTATGAGTTGTAAATATTAAATAGGATTGGAATGGTTGGTAACTTCCTCCGCGCTGGATTCTTTTGGCCTCACGTGTTTCTTTGAGATTTCGAGATCAGGGGCGTTAACGATATTCAGTGGAATTTTTAGACGCTTTTCACGTTTCAATACAATTTCTCAAAAATTTCATTCTCTATATTTCCATTGCTATAAATTTTGGGCCGGTGTCTAATCAGATCTTCTGACATTGTGGGTAAACGTAGAAATCAGTTACATTATGGGGTATCATAGAAAAGCGTTGTATTACGGGATATCGTCGATAAGGTTGCATTGTGGGATATCGTAGAAATCAGTTACATTATGAGGTATCATAGAAAGGCGTTGTATTACGGGATATCGTCGATAAGGTTGCATTGTGGGATATCGTAGAAATCTGTTACATTATGAGGTATCATAGAAAGACGTTGTATTACGGGATATCGTCGAAAGGGTTGCATTGTGGAATATCGTAGAAATCTGTTACATTATGAGGTATCATAGAAAGACGTTGTATTAAGGTATGTCGTCGAAAAGATTGCATTATTGGATATCGTAGAACAAGGTTACCTTTTGAAATATCATACAAAGATGTCTTGTTAGATATCATAGAGACGAGTGGCACTATGGGATATCATAGAAAGGGTTTGCGTTGTGGGATATATGAAAAAGGGGTTGCGTCGTTGGATAACATCAAAAGATGTTGAATTGTGGGATATCCTAGAAAGACGTTGATTTCTGTAATATCGTAGAAGGGATTTGCATTATTGGATATCTTAGAAAGGCGGTTGCTTTGCGGGATATCTTCGAAAGGATTTGCATTGTGGGATATCTTTCAAAGGTGTTGTATTGTGGGATATCATGGAAAGTGGTTGTATTGCGAGATATCGTCGAAAGGGTTTGTATTGTTGGATATCATTGCGCTGAGTGAATTGTAAATATGGCTAAAATCAACCATTTTCCGTGATTTAAAAAAAAAACAAAGTCATTCCAATCAATTTAAATACTTTAATTTTGAAATTCAGGAAAGTATTTTGCTTATTGGATATATTAAATTTACTCTATTAGCTTCAAATTAAAACTAAAATAAAACATCCAAGCAAGATTTTCATTTTTTAAAAATTAATTTTTCATTATCTATCTATCTGGCTAGTTTTCTCTCTCTCTCTCTATATATATATATATATATATATATATATATATATATATATATATATAGACGTATTATGCCTATTTTAGTTTTAATCATTTCAAGTCCACGAATTAATTTCTCGGTGGCTGTAGAAAATTGATCAAAAAAATTTTCTAAATTTTTCTTCAAGTAATCAAGTACTTTCAATCTCATCTGAGACCATCTTCAGGGGTTGCGTATCTAAGGATGTATTATGCGTTAACACCATAAATTCAAAATATTTTTCAGTGCTATGCAAGGGAGGTAACTTATGTGATTGTTGTAAGACATTTTTAATTGTAGTACTATAATTTATTATTTTTTTATGTAACACTTTACTCCGAAAACATATGAGAACTTCGTTGCTATACTCAATATTGACTTTATTTATTTATGGCCGCAGTTCTCTTATATAAAATCATACTTATTATAAAACCCAGGTTGTGTGTGTGTGTCTGTTCGTTTATATATTGAATCGAATTTCCGACATTTTTCAACCGATTTCAAATAAACTTCACAGGACTACGTAAAATTACCTTGCGGTGGTTCTGACAGCGCCCAAAATTGGAAAAACACAATTGTTTTTGCACGAAATCAATTTGAAAACACGATAAGAGGCATTGCTGTCGCGAGAATGAAAGGGGGACAACTCATATGGAATTATACTTATTATAAAACCCAGGTTGTTTGTGTGTGTGTGTGTCTGTGTTCGTTTATATATGGGATCGGATTTCCTACATTTTTCAACCGATTTCAACAAAACTTCACTTTTTTTTTTGGCAGGTAGTGTTTCTTATTGTCTTGCACACTTTTGTCTTTATTTTTACATTCAGAATCCTTTAAAAATTTCATTTACAAGACAATTGTTTATAATAAAATTCTATTCAATCGGTAGACTCATAACGATTGAAAACAATGTTTTTGTTTGAGTTTGACTTTGACCAATTCGTAAAAAAACCCCCCAAAAATCTAATTAAGACATGCGTGTCCATCAACCTTAAACAATAATCTTTGTCAATTTTATTTTTCAGTCTTTATGATGGTCGATACTTGATCTATCTCTTATTGTTACATCCCCGGGCAACGCCGAGCTCTACTGCTAGTCTTATATAAATGTTTTTGCTTATTATTATCCTGATAAAGCAATAAGTATACATAATACGTCCTCAAATAACTCTAGACATATCAAACTACTATACCGTAATCAAATACATTCTAACTATAAGGAGGAGGAAAAAATTCTAAAAAGTCTCATCATCGCTAATATATCCCCCACTGATCCAAGTGAAAAAATGAAATTAATTATATACTATACTAAATTTAATAGAAGCAAACGAGTTATCTATAACAACTCTTCTCCGTCAACTAGCATCTTGCAAAAGGCCAACATTGTATATCAATTTAAATGTCCTTTAGGAGATTGTTCCTCTGATAAAAATGTTAAAAGTTATGTTGGTTTGACAACAATAACGATGACGAGAAGGCTTACGTTTCACTTGAACGATCATAGTTCAATCTTAGAACATTTAGAGGAAGGCTAAAGCTCACATTAACAGTTTAGACAGATAGTCGAAAATACATCAGTGCTTTATTATTTTTTCTTTAAATTTATATTCATTTATTTATTTTTATATTATTTTTATATGAATATCATAAACATCTATCTATCTATCTATCTATCTATCTATCTATCTATCTATCTATCTATCTATCTCAGTCTATTTATAATCTATCTATCTATCTATCTATCTATCTATCTATCTATCTATCTATCTAGCTATCTCAGTCTGTTCATAATCTATTAATCTGACTATTCATTATCTATCTATCTATCTATCTATCTATCTATCTATCTATCTATCTATCTCAGTCTGTTCATAATCTATCAATCTGACTATTCATTATCTATCTATCTATCTATCTATCTATCTATCTATCTATCTATCTATCTATCTCAGTCTGTTTATAATCTATCTCACTATTCATTATCTATCTATCTATCTATCTATCTATCTATCTATCTATCTATCTATCTATCTCAGTCTGTTTAATCTAATCTATCTATCTATCTATCTATCTATCTATCTATCTATCTATCTAATTATATAGATAATTCATCAACCCATGTGAGAATTGACTAGCTCTAGCCCCTATATAGGAGTGATACTCCCTTTTTAGATTAATCTGACTATTCTATAACACGGTACATGGCAGTGGCTGTGACTTTTAAGGCGGTACAAAGAACCGATCTTTTCTCCCTCCTGTCTAGCGATCGATCATAGTTACGAGTCTACTTCCGGTCTGGGTTTGAACTTTGACTCCCAACAGACATTGATTGTATTCCGGAAAATGTCTTCCTCGAACTTATTCCTTGTCTCACAAGTTTTCTTTTAGCAATTGTCATCTGTATGCAGTTAGTTCTTCACTGTATTTCGACCAGTGAGCAAATTCTAATATGTTTGGCGTTCTGAAATTTTTGTTTACAACACTGTTCACTCAAGGTAGATGTTTACAGAGTTAGAAGAGGTTTATGAGGACATGGGGAAGATAACGGTTAACCCGTGACTTGAACAGGCTAAGATTGTAGTGACTGGGGAAGCACCCCCCCCGTAAGTCGTTTCCGTATTAAGGAGCTGTTCAAATGGAATTTACATCTCTCCAATGGAGTACAAAGGAAATGAAGTTGGTTGGCTACTATGAGCGTGGCATGTAGGACCTTAGCCATGAAAGTTAGAACTGGTGGAACTAAGGAATGTACGTCTGAACACTTTTCATGGAATTAACAATAGAGCAGTCGAGGCTTGCAGCGTTTCGTCTGTGGGAAAGTGGTTGTAGGGTGGAAGACAATCCATCACCAATAAGGTTTCGGAACCGCTTTTGTTTTTATCGATATCCAGTGCGGAAAGCGAAGAATTTATCCAAACATTTTCGCTGATGTTTTTGTGCTTTCAAGATTTTACCGTAATTCCAGGTTAATTTTTATTAAGCCACTTGCTTCTGTGGCTATTTTTTCTCACCGTTTACCGTTTTTCACAGTTCATAGGATTGAATGCATCATGACACTTTCTATTGATGTTGTCATGTCGGAACCTGAATCATCTCTCTTGATTAGGGATATATATGTCATGACTCTTTTTATCATTAATAACCTAATCAATACTTTTGTACTGAAGTATCAGTGAGCATCGCTTTTGTATGAAGAAAATCAATAACTGTAATTCTATTCGTATAAATCTGTTTGCAGATATCATTAGTTTACTTTTCTTTCTATTCTTTCTTCCTTTCTTTCTTTCTTTCTTTCTTTCTTTCTTTCTTTTTCTTTCTTTCTTCCGTTCTTTCTTTTTTCTTTCTTTCCTTTCGTTTCATTCATTCATTCATTCTTTCTTTCTTTCTTTCTTTTCTTTCATTCATTCTTTCATTCTTTTCTTTCTTTTTTTTTCTTTCTTTTTTCCTTTTCTTTCTTTTTCTTTCTTTTCTTTCTTTCTTTCATTTTTCATTTTTCTTTCTTTCTTTCTTTCTTTCTTTTCATTCATTCATTCATTCTTTCATTCTTTTCTTTTTCTTTCTTTCTTTCTTTTTTCTTTCCTTTCTTTTCCTTTTCTTTCTTTCATTTCTTTTTCTTTCTTCCTTTCTTTTTCTTTTTCTTTTTTTCTTTCTTTTCTTTCTTTTCATTCATTCATTCTGTTTCTTTTTTCTTTCTTTTAACCTAATTTACATAAGCGGACTACCGACCGTTTATAAATCATGGGTTGGTACCGGAAGACAGGAAGATAGTCATTCATTAAGAAATTGAATTCAGAGACTCTGCCCGACTGCGATTTAGTCAACCCATTATGCAGGAACAGTCTTCCCAAGAATATACCAAATTAACATTCATTCATTCATTGTACCTATTCTTTGTTTCAATACATTTTTGTTTCCTTTTACATTTTGTGTTGTATTATTCCATTCTTATTTTTCTTTTCAACACATTCATTCATTCATTCTTTTTCTTTCTTTTTTTTTTCTTTCTTCCTTTCTTTCTTTCTTTCTTTTTTCTTTTCATTCATTCATTCATTCATTCATTCATTCTTTCTTTCTCTTTCTTTCTTTCTCTTTCTTCCTTTCTTTCCTTTTTTTTCTTTCTTTCTTTCTTTCTTTCTTTCTTCTATGTTTCTCTCTCCCTCCTTTTTTATGTGCCAGGTCCCTTCAAGAAGTGGTCGATAATGGCTCTCCACAATATCCTATCCTTTGTAGTTAAAAGTAATATTTGTCCGTTTGCTATCTTTTCCTTTCTCTATTTACACAAGCCCAATGTCTCTCCTCTTCTTCTTTTGCCTACAATATGCCCTGTGAGTGTCACATTCTCCAAGCCTCCTTTTTTCATTAAGTGTCACAGAAATTTCAGCTGTCTCTTTCAGATTTTTAGTATCATTGTTTTTTTTTATTTCCATTTCTCTTAAGTATTCCTTGTGGCTTACTCGCTCCGTCCCGGAATTCTCAACACCCTTCTGTAGAACAGAATCTATGTTATCTCAGTTCTCCTTTTTATCGCTGAAGAGATTGTCTAGCATTCTCAGCTATATAAATATATATATGTATATAAAGAGTGTTTCAATAACTTGAACCTATTTTAAGTTTAAGCGTCTAATGATTTTTTTTTCTTTCAGATTTGGCGGACATTTGGGTGATATTATTTTCCCCCACATAATTGCCATGACTTAAATAACATGATCCAATAGAGAAATAAATATCAATAACATTGATTGATTTAATGCTGACTTTAATCCGTCTTAATGAAACACCCTTATATATAATCTGGCTTAATGAAACACCCTTTATTTACTATAAGATTTACTGCTATCCGATTAAAATTTCTAAACCATTATCCATTAGACAACCCTCAAATCCAAGCATACAGCACCTGGTATTCCCAAGCTGTCACCCATCTAGGTACTGACCAAGCTCAATGTTGCTTAACTCCAGTGGTTCTATGGGAACCAGTGTTTCAATTTGACATGGTCGTAAGCTTAAACAGTAACTGTATATTCTATAAGTTAGTTCTCTTGCAATTCTTGGTGTTCTGTTTTTCATTAGAAATTCAACCATGGTCAGCATATTAGGAAACAAAGAGTGTTCCAATAACTTGGACCAATTTTAAATATGAATTAAGTTTAAGCATCTAATGATTTTTTTTCCTTTCAGATTTGGCAGATATTTGGGTGATATTATTTTTCACACATAATTGCCATGACATAAATAACATGATCCAATAGAGAAATAAATAAATTTTCACCAATAACACTGATTTATTTAATTTCTGACTTTGATCCGTCTTAATGAAACACCCTGATATATAATCCGTCTTAATGAAACACCCTTATATATAATCCGTCTTAATGAAACATCCTATAGAAGAGATGATATTATACAGCATTTCAGCACATTTTTCTTTGCTTCTAACAATATTTTTTTTATTTTATAATACTTTCTTTCTTTTGGAAAGCACTTTCGCGATTCCAAAACGTCTTCGTATTTCTGTGTCTGTTATAAATTTATCTTCTAAAATTCGTAGCTCGCATCTTAGGTTATCATTTTTGTTAACGACCATATTTGATATCATAGATTAACGACTTTTTAGTGAATTCTATTCATATAAATTTATAGCATCATTTTAAGCTAACGTATTTTTAAAGGATTTTATGACCATTTTGATAACACATTTAAGATAAATTATTCGTTTTATCGCGATAGATCTACGCCTAATTCCAATCTGATGAATTAACGAAATAACTTTTTTTGATATTTTAATCTTGGGGGAAAAAGAAAATTAATCATTTCACAATTGTAAACAATATATTTTCTTTATCAACTCGTAATTCTAAGGAGCCTTGTGCGCACTGTAGTTTGTCCAAGATTCATTTAAGAAGAATTATTCCATTTCTTTCCGATAAAAAATAGAGCGACACATTAAAATAGATAAAAATGCCTGAAAATACATAACAAATAAAATACACTACATAAAATACAGAAACATCTTAGAATAAAACCCATAAAAATATAACATGCATAAAATACATAACTGATAAAATATAATTAAAAACACCCTAGAATGCATAAAATATATAAAAATACATAAAACATAACAGATAAAATAAAATACAAAGGCACCATAGAATACATATAACATAAACTTGCACGAAAATACATAAAACTCATAGCAGATAAAAATATATAAAACACAAAAATTCTTAGAATACACAAAGGACATAGAATGCATACAAATACATAAAATAAATAACAGATAAAATAAAATACATAGAATACAACAACACTTTAGAATACATAAAATATATAAAAATGCATAAACTGCATAAAGTACAAAACAGATAAGATAAAAAAAAACCTCCTTGGAATACATAAAATGCATAAAAATGTATAAAATATATAAAAAATATATAAAATACATAAAAGTACAAATTCTTAGAATAAAATAAAAATGCGTACAAAAATACATAAAATACATGAAAAATAAAAAATGAAATACAAAAACTACATAAAATTACATAAAATATATAAAAATGCGTAAAAATACATAAAATACATAAGAGATAAAATAAAATACATGAAATACAAAAACTCCTTAAATTACATAAAATATATAAAAATGCGTAAACATACATAAAATACATAAGAGATAAAATAAAATACATGAAATACAAAAACTCCTTAAATTACATAAAATATATAAAAATAAGTAAAATATATAACAGATTAAATAAAATTTATAAAATACATTACAATACGTAAACAGATAAGAATGCATAATGAAAAATTATTTTAATTTGAAAGATGCATTACAACTATAAGTAGCACTTGCTACTCGGTCGATAAATGCCGAATGTTTCCTTATAAGGAAACGGCTAATATAACAATTATGATTATAGATTAGGAGAAGAGATACTACACTTTGATCCTAGCCTGATCGTCAAAAGAAAAACGTGACTAGATTAGCACTGGCTGCTCGATCAAAGAAACCCGAATCTTTCCTTATAAGGAAACGTCTTATATTACCATTAAAGATAAATGGTTGCTACACTCTGATTCCATCGCGATGGCCAGGGAGTGAAGGAATATGTAACTAGAGTAGAGTTTTTCGGTCAATGAATCCTAAATCTTTCCTTAACATCATCATCCGACGACCTCCATATAGTTGGTCGGAACTTCATTAACAATCCTTTTCCACACTATTCGGTCCTCCATTGCAGTCTCAACCCTGTCTCGAGCTATGGTGTCTAGGAAAGTCAATTTTCGTGAAAAGACTCTTCCAGAAGGATGCCATAGAAGTAAGGATGAGACGATTTCCCTGCCCGCTCGGTGGCGGTGGTCAGCAAACTGCAATCGTTTTTGTTTGAGCTTAAGAGAGATTAGTATGGGATCTAGATTTCTGATGTTCTAGATTTTACTAAGCAGATTCATATACGTTCCATCCAATTGTCTTTCAAGACGAACAAATAATGTCCAAGTTTCGGATCCATACAGTAGGACTGTTTTAATCAATGTTCGAAAGCTTTGGACTTTTCAAGAGGATGGAAGGTTCGTGCGCCAAACCTTTGTAGTTTGTATTTCTGAACGAGATTGGCGCCATCGTTATCATCCCCCTTCGACCTCCGTATGGTTGGTCGAAATTCCATAGAAATCCCTTTTCACACTGTTTCTTCCTGTATTGCTGACCCCAGATCCACAATGTTCAAACCCGAGTCCCGTGTTATAGTGTCTGGGAAAGTCAATTTTCGTGAAAAGACTCTTCCAGAAGGATGCCATAAGAGTAAGGATGAGACAATTTCCCTCTCCGCTTGGTGACAGTGACAGGCAAACTGCAATATTTTTTGTTTGAGCTTAAGAGAGATTAGTGTCAGTTCTCCGTAGATTGGGTTAAGCATTGCATCGGATCACCAACTGATGTTCTAGATTTTACTAAGCAGATTCATATACGTTCCATCCAATCGTCCTTCAAGACGAACAAATAATATCCAAAGTTTTGGATCGATACAGTAGGACTGGTTCAATCAGAGCATTGGACTTTTAAAGTCCTATGTCAGATAGTTTTACCATTTTGCTTATCATGGCGGGAATGTATCGCTTGTTTGATAACTTTATTCTTTTGATATTAGATATGAGAAATTGACAAGTTATTACAGATACAAATAATGGACGCCTGATTATGGCCAGAGGGTAATTAACCGAAACGTCTTGTTTATGATAACAACTATAGTAATCGAAAAGAATAGTTTGAATGGATCGAATCAATCAATAATTATTTCTAATTCCTCTTTTTTGACATTATAAACAAAATTATCAAGAAAAAAGACATTAGCTGTTTTTGTTCCTGCAGATTTGAGCAGATATATTTTTACTGGATGGGACTGTAGTCTCCGTCTTCCACTTATTGCTTTGGAGAAGAGAATTTGATTCTTGGTTCTGAATTGAAAGTTAAGCATTCTATTAGACTGGTTGCCAGCTAAGGCTAGAAAGACTTGTCTTCTAGTCTGTTTTATCCATAGCCATGTGTGTGTGCAGAGCGGTGATGAAGAGGTGAATTCACACCTTTTCCAAGGCCAGTAGTACAAAGTGACCACTCAGCTGGAACTTGAACTCGGTTTGCCGATTCCATTTGACGCTCTAATAACTGTCGGGGCACCTCACTTAAAAAAGATGTAACAAGATATACATTAAAGAGCAAAAGTTTGGTGGGGCCACACTCAGGATTTGCTAAGCTAGAATGTTGAAACTATTAAACCCATTAGTATAGGGTGTCCTGTTTTTTGAGAGGGGTTTACCTAAACTCCGCCATGCCTAAAATAACCATTAGTTAGCAAAGTACGTTAGGAAAAAAAGAGCTAGAATCTAACGAAACTTTATGCAGCATTGGGTTAATTTCATTATTATTATTATTATTATTCCTTTGATTTCTGGTTGTGTTCACAATTCTTTCCGGGTCCCGCCCAGAGACCTAAGAGGCATCATAACACTTTCCATTGACAATATATATATATATATATATATATATATATATATATAGACAAAGCCTTTCGTAAAGTGTGGCTGTACTTTTCAGAACAATTTTTTGTATCTCTTTGAGGCATTGACTTCCAGGGATCCCTTCGATTAGTCTACTGGAATCTTTTCCAACCATATTATTATTATTATTATTATTATTATTATTATTTCCTTCGATTTCTGGTCTATACTCATTTCTTTCCGGGTCCCAACCAGAGACCTAAGGTCAGAAATGACATCATGACATTTTCCACTGAGCAGTTTTGAGAAAAAATAATCCAAGATCACACATATTTTACATAGATAAAAGCCCTTCGTGAGGTGTGAGCTGTACTTGTAAGTAAAATTTTATGTATTTCTTTAAAGTATGGCCTGCTAGGAACCTCTTCAATGAGACTATCGAAGTCTTTTTTCAATTAATCCGAGGGTTCCAACTACAATTGTCCTCATGTGCCACATTTTTGAGATTTCGATTTCAAGGCCCTTGTATTGCGATAATTTTTTGAAGATCGTCAAAGATTCATTACATTTTGCATGTCAATAAGAAGGGATATTTTGTCTTTACGGTCTCTGATCACAATGTCTGGGCGATTAGCTTTGATTGTCCTGTATGTGTGTATTGTAAACTTCCATAAAATTGTTACAAGTCCTATCTCCGTAACCGTGTCTGGGTGGTGTCCATACCAATTTGCAGTTTTCTTTCCGTGAAGGTTTAAGATTTTTCAATGCAGATATTGGCCCACTCTGTCTATTTATTTTATTATTATTATTATTGAACATGTGATAAAAAATTCAGGGAGGGGAAGTCTCCTTGGTTCAAAGTAAGCCAGTAAATTACTTTTTGAAAGAAGTACCCGGTCGTCAATTTTTAAACAATTCTAGGGTGTTCAAACTTTTGGCCAATAGTGTATATTATCAACAGCGCAAATAAAAACCTATATCGAATCAAGAGAAAACAGCGGAAATCATAGCTATACTGTCGAACCAAAAAAGTCGACCAAGAGAGGTTGAAATGGCCGCTGGAAACACTGTATCCGTCGTGTATAAAGGCGGCCATCGTTGTGTTTTCTCACCGGAAGGAACTTCTAAACATCGCGAAAAAGCCTCTGTGAAAAGTTACGCTCTGATTTGTTTTGCTGCGATATAAAAGAAACCTGGACTACGCTTTCTACAATCTCAATAGAAATATTTTTTTTTTCAATTTCTCTTCATTTCCTCCGAGGACGATTGTCTTGTTTGATTTGTTTTGTGCGTCCTGGGAAAAACAATAAACCACATCCGCGTCCTTTAAAGACGATAAACGGTATATCCAACAGCAAGGTTATTTAATGCCGATAAAATTTTTTGAAAAAAATTTAATTTTATCAAAATCTATTTCTGGTAATAATTTTTTAAAAAAAAATAATATTATCAGCTATACGTTTTGGAAAAATAATATTACCAGCTATACATTTTGAGAAAAATTTATTAACAGAAATAATTTTTTGAGAAACAAAACTATTACCAGTTGTCGGCATTAAATGACCCATTGAAGTTGATACGCCCGGTTTTTGGGTATATAACATATTAACTAGTGAAATAGCGAGTCAAAATGACTTAATTCAAGCCTTTATAGTCGACCAATAGAAGGTTGATCTCCGAAGCCGCACAATCGTATCTGTTCATTAATCTAAAGGCGGCCATCTTTGTTTTCTCACCGGAAGGAACAGAGTAACCCTCCTCCGGTGGCTATGACAGACGGAAGAACTGCCATTCTAAAACTTTGTTGCGATATCCACTGCAAAAATGGATAACGCTTTCCTATTCTCCGAAATATTCACAGACTCAACCTCTGGATTCTATATTCGAGGACGAAAATAAATCAAAAAATTTCTAACAGATATGATAAACGAAAAACAAACCTAAACCAAACCTTTTGTTTTGTTTTACGGTAAATATCAACCTAATTATTTATTTAATGCCGACAAAATTTTCATTGTTGGTAATATTTTATTTTGATCTAAAAATCTATTTCTGATTTAAATAATTTTTTAATTGAAAAATAGGTTGCTAGTAATAATTTTTCAAAAAACTCATTGCCGAAAATATTTTTCCTAAAAATTTATTGCTGGAAATAAATTTTTTATAAAGATGAACTACAGTCCTAGATGCCAATACATATAGTTCTAAATATCAATATCACGTCATGCCACGCCCATTCTATCGAACCCCACCATTATTCCTTTCTATCTATATATCTATCAATCGAGCAACTTCTTTCATTATCTATCTATCTATACTTCTATCTATCTATCTACCTTTGTTCATTATCTATCTATCTATCTATCGACAATATCTAATCTGTTCCAATCTATAGTCCATCTATCTATCTATCTATCAACATCTCCGCAGAACTATCTATCTATCTTACTGATTAACCCTCTACCTATCTGGCTATCTAGCCTTATCTAGGGTAAATGCCATTCTAAAACAATGTTCATAGATCCAAATAAAAATGAATAATATTTACCTATTCCCGAAACAATACATGCTTACAGACTCAAGCATAAAGGATCAATATTAACCTATTCCCGAACCAAAATAAATCAAAATAATTTCTTATAGATTCATTGATAAACGACCAATATTTACCTAGTACCAAAACGAGTAAATGTTTACTAAGCTAAATATAAATGACTATTATTTACTAATATAGCAACGAAGAAAATAGGCTCAGATATAAGCGATGGCCATTTAACTAATTCTGAACTAAGAAATTACTTACAGATTTAAATATAAACTACCATAGTTGAACGATCCTCAAACCAAGCGAATGTTTATAGACTCAAACAGAAACGACCAATATTTAGCTATAAGTTATGAGCATAAGGTAAATGTCCATATATAATCTATCTCATTACTGACCAGTCCCTAGATGAAGTCAATGCTTATAGATATCAAATATCAATATCTATCTATCTATCTATCTATCTATCTATCTATCTATCAGTCTGTTCATTCTATATCTATCTATCTATCTATCTATCTATCTATCTCATGTTGATAATTCATCTATCTCATCTGTTTATATTCTATCTATCTATCTATCTATCTATCTATCTATCTATCTATCTCATTCTGTTTATATTCTATCTATCTATCTATCTATCTATCTATCTATCTATCTCATTCTGTTTATATTCTATCTATCTATCTATCTATCTATCTATCTATCTATCTATCTATCTATCTATCTCACTGTTCATATCTATCTATCTATCTTATCTATCTATCTATCTATCTATCTATCTATCTATCTATCTATTTATCTATCTATATCTATCTATCTGTTCTATCTATCTATCTATCTATCTATCTATCTATCTCATTCTGTTCATATTCTATCTATCTATCTATCTATCTATCTATCTATCTATCTGATTTTTCTATCTATCTATCTATCTATCTATCTATCTATCTATCTATCTATTTTCATTATCTATCTATCTATCTATCTATCTATCTATCTATTATCTATACTATATCTGAGATCCATCATTCTATCTATCTATCTATGGTATCTGTGTTGTAGACAGGGATGTGACGGACATCCATTGACGATCAATTTTCATGTGGTTATCATTTCTTATCTCATTTTATTTATTTTTCATTCTATCTATAGAATCTATCACCTATTTATCTATGAGACAGAATCTATTCACTTGTTCGTTCGGCCTTTGCTATCTGAATATTCTATCTTTCTATCTATGGAATCTGAACTATTAATTCCTCCATCATCCATCTATCTATCTATCTATCTATCTATTTATCTGATCCATCTTAATTACAATCAGGAAGTGGCCTATCATCTATCTATCTATCTCGGAATCTAGAAAATTCTATGGTAAATAATATCGACGATCTATAAAACATCTCATGTTAAAAAATATGGCTCCATTTTTCATCTATGAAAATCCATCTATCTATCTATCTATCTATCTATTTTTTAAAATGAATATTTATCGATTTAAAAAAAATCAATATCTATCTATCTATCTCTATCTATCAAAACTACACACATCATATATATCTATATATCTGTCTCATCATTATCTATCTATCTCTCTCTATTCTATCTATCTATCTATCTATCTATCTATCCAGCCTGTTCAATTTATCTATCTATCTATCTATCTATCTATCTATCTATCTATCACATCTATCACATCACACACACTATGTTTTCACATCATATATATGTATATATCATTCTCATTTCTCTCTCTTCTATCTATCTATCTATTTCTATCTATATCTATCTATCTATCTATCATATATTTATCTATCTATCTATCAGAAACACACATACAACTTACAAACATCTATCACAACTATATATATATATATATCATCTATCATTATTCTGTTCTCTCTATCTATCTATCTGTTCATCTGTTCATCTATCTATCTATCTATCTATCTATATCTATCTATCTATCTATCTATCTCATTCTGTTCATAATCTATCTATCTCATTCTATCTATTTTATTCTATCTATCTATCTACATATATCATATCTATATATCTATCTCATTATCTATCTATCTATCTATCTATCTCATTCTGTTCTATAATCTATCTATCTATCTATCTATCTATCTGAGATGATCATAATTACTATCTTTGCTATCTACAAAACCGTTGGTAACTGTTCACAATAGATCTATCTATGTGACGGACATCCATTGACGATCAATTTTCATGTGGTTATCATTTGACTTTGAAAGTGTACTTTTATTTATTTTTTCATTTGATCTCAATAGAATGTAGAAGTCACCTATTTACCATGAGACAGAACTATTCTATCGATCTCAAAATCGTATCTATCGTTCTATCTATCTATCTTTCCCGGCTGAATATTCTGCGACTGCTTTTTACTTACAGTGGAATGTTGAACTTATTAATTCCTCCCATCCTAAGTCTTCAGCCATAATTGGTTGATTATTTATGTTTATCCTGATGCCAGCGTCTTAATTACAAGCAGGAAGTGGCCATTATGGCGGCAGGGGTAGAATCTGCAGCATTCTCGGAATAAGTACAGAAAATTAATCGTAGGTAGGAAATAACGATCGACGACTATAAAACGAACGTGTTAAAAAATATATCAGTCTGCTCATTTCTCTTTCCCCATCTGAAAATACAAGAGGATTAATCTATGTGATCAGACATCTATCTATCTATTTTCTAAAATCTATCTATCCTATCGATTCCAAAAAAAAACAACTATCTATCTATCTATCTATTCTATCTGTTCTCGATATCTAAAACAAACACACACACACACATATATATATATGTATATATCAGTCTGCTCATTATCTCTCTCTCTCTCTCTCTGTTCAGAATCTATCTATCTATCTATCTATCTATCTTCCATCCTATCTATCATCTATCTATCTATCTATCAGCCTGTTCAATCTATCTATCTATCTATCTATCTATTCTATCTATCCAAAATCATCTATCTATCTATCTACAGCCTCATAATCTATATATATATATATATATATCATATCTATCTATCTATCTATCTATCTATCTATCTATCTATCTATCTATCTATCTGTTTCCAGCCTGTTCACAATCTATCTGTTCATAATCTATTCAGCCTGTTCACAATCTATCTATCTATCTATCTATTGAAACACACACACACAATCTATCAAATCTATCTATTCACAGCCACACAATCTACACACACACACACACACACACACACACTGTTCACAATATATATGTATCTATTCAGTCTATTTCAATCATTAAATCTATCTATCTATCTCATCTATCTATCTATATATCTATCTGTTCTATCTATCTATCTATCTATCTATCTATCTATCTATCTATCTATCTATCTATCTATCTATTCCAGCCTGTTCACAATCTATCTATCTATCTATCTATTCCAGCCTGTTCACAATCTATCTATCTATCTATCTATCTCGATCTCACACACACACACACACACACACACACACATATATATATGTATATATCAGTCTGCTCATTATCTCTCTCTCTCTCTCTATCTATCTATCTCTTCATAGATATGAATGATATGTTTGTCCCCCCCCACTCTTGCAGCAGAAACAACCGTTTGATCCAGCGTGATTTACTCCTCACCAACAAATAACGTCAATAACTGCAAGCAAGGCTCCTTTCATTATAAACGACTGAGACGGTACAGCGTTTAAGATTTTATTTAATTTTTCTTGTGTTCTTACAATTTTTTTACTTTTCCCCTAATTTACGTCCAGAAAAAAGTAAATTATGTAAACAAAAAAAATTAAATATAAAAATTAACAAAAGGACAGTCATTTAAATGAAAATTATATATATATATATATATATATATATATATATATATATATATATATATATATATATATATATATATATCTGAGATGAGATATCGTAATTATTTCCATTATTTGGCTCATTGGAATTTCGGTCATTTCGAACTGAACCTTTCATTTCGCCCACTGGTATAGATTGTTCTAGTTCCAGGTGCCATGCAAAAGGCTTCAATTTGGAATCACAATGCGCTGAAGAAGGCCGAACATACTAACGGCCGAAACGTCGGGAATATGTCAATAAAGATGTTTTGAACAATGTAAATAATATATATATATATATATATATATATATATATATATATATATATATATATGTATGGGGGTGTATACAGATAGACGGATAGATATAGAGAGACCTATTCTATAATTCATGCTTCCATTACTTACTAGCCGCATACAGTCCTTCTTAATAAATAAAAAATCCCTTTCTTCTTTAGAAATATATATATCTGTACTAAATTGAAAAGGGTAAACTTCCTCGACGTAACTCTAGATTTAACAAACAACACATACCAACCTTATAGAAAACCAAATACACCCGAAGTCAAACCACCCTCTATCCATAATTAAACATATACCCTCATCAATAGAAAATAGAATCAGCATTAACTCCGCTAACAAAGGAATATTCCAACAACACAATAGCTTTTATAACGATGCCCTAAAAAATAGTGAATACAAGAATGCAAACATTAACTATAGAAACAATTGCACTAACCAGAGGAAAAAAAGAGGAAAAGAAAAATCATTTGGTATTCCCCTCCGTTCAACCAAATGGTTAGTATTAAACTAGGACATAAATTCCTAGCTTTAATTGAAAAACACTTCCCTACCAATAATAGACCTAGTAAAATATTTAATAAGAACACTCTAAAATTGAGTTACAGCTGCACTGAAAATCTAGAAAGTATAATAAAAAAACACAATAATAAAATCCTGAACACACCCCCATGCCTGAATAGTATTAATAAAAACCCTACACTTAAATTAGACAATAACAGTGAAAAATTATGTGATTGTAGAAACTCAGAACACTGCCCATTGGAAAATAAATGCTGCGTTAAATCTGTGGTATAACAATGTACTATCTCATCCATTGAGTGTCCTAATACTAATATGATATACATTGGGTCTACGAAGAATGAATCTAAAACCAGATGGAGGCAGGATAAGTGCTCTTTCAACAATATAAATAAAAGAAATCAGATATCTCTATCTAAATATTTTTGGCATTTGAAGGAAATGAATAAAACACCAAAAGTTAAATGGAAAATTATAAACAAAACTAGAACTTGTAAAACTTGGGATAACCCATGCCTTTTATGCCTACATGAAAAACTACACATTATTAAGTTTCTAAATAATATAAATCTATTAAACAATAGACAGGAGTTAACGGTTTTTTTGCCGACATCATCAAATTTTTGCATTGAATAATTAGCATAAAAACAAACAAACAATAAAATAATTTTTATAATCCATAGCCCTAATAAATAGTTTAAATACCCTACAAAAAAAGATAACCCTTTATGCAGTCGTCAAAAAACAAATGTTACGGCAGTTTTTTTATATACACAAAACTCTATACTGATACAAATTATTAACACCCCTTCCTATTTAAACAATTGCTCTGGCCGTTACCATGGAAATTTTGATTTCAATAATGAATATGCTATTAAAACACGTAAATTTCAGAAATAAGTTATTCCAAAAAAAATTTCGCTTGAAGATGGAACAGAGCTTACTTATTTTTATTATATTTATTTAACAAAAAATTGAGCACTCTTTTTAATTAAATGCTACAAACGTTGTAAGTGTACTCTATTCATTTCATTTACCTATATATATATATATATATATATATATATATATATATATATATATATATCACTGAGAATAAAATACCAAAATGTGAATTTACTGCCAAAATAAATCGCCGTGTGAGCAACTAATTCACTCACCCAGTTATCGCTTTATACTAGACTTTATATATATATATATATATATATATATATATATATATATATATATATATATATATATATCCGATGCGATGAGAACGAAAGTAATATATAAATTCCAACGTTTACAGCATTAATCCAAAAGAGGGCTTGATATCGATAGTAGAGCGATAATTATTTATTTATTATAATTTTATCATCCAGACAAAACCATTTTACTCACTACAAAAGATGCAACTTCGGCCATCGAAGTGCAGTTGAAATGCACTGAAACGAAGTTGCATCTTTGTAGCGAGTAAAAATGGTTTTGTCTGTATAAATTATAAATATATATATATATATATATATATATATATATATATATATATATATATTATAATTTATACAGACAAATTTATACAGAATTTTTTTCGTCTCTGTAATTTTCAGTCCTTTTTTAAACCAGCGAAGGAAGCCACCATCAATCCAGGAATGATCAATAACATTTAGTGATCCTGAGAAATCGATTTTCCTGAAAATTTGCTTTTTTTTTTAGCGACGTTTAATCATTAAGTATAACTAAAGACTTCAATGTTAGGATAAAATAGTATTTAATTACAACCGCAAATAAATACTTAACAAAAACAAAGAACTAAAAGTCAACCAAAGATAAGTAATCATTTCAGTGAATCCTTTTTTAGTAACGCGACTCAGCTTAACGTCTGATAAATCTTAAATCAAAACCCAAATCATCGACGCACAATAATTCACACTAATTCGACTGGATAGTTCCACTTTATAGACACTCAATAATCACCGCAGTCAGTAGCCTGACATCGCTATTTATACACATGGCGGAAAGTATATATTCCAGAGTGTCCCGTTCGAACCTCGGTGTTGGTAAATATTCAGTTTCTTCCTATATGACAGCTTTAATGGAAAGATTTCTTAAATTTCCACCCAAAACAGTACAGGTTATTCGATCAATGAATGCCAAATGTTTCCTTGTAGGGAAATGGCTAATATTACTATGACTATTTTTGTTTTCAGTTTCTCTAAAAACATCGTCGTTGTCTACTTGTTCAGCATCTTTCTGTAGAACTAGATTTCTGTTGTCTCAAGTCTCTTCTTTGTGTGGAGATTTTACAGCATTCACTGTCGTATAGGAGGACTGATATTACATAACAGTTCAGTACTCTTTTCTTTGTTTACAATGGAATTTTACTGTTTCTTAATACTTTCCTTAGCTTTTGGAAGGCATCTTTCTCTATCCCAATGCGTCCTGAGAGAACAATTTTCCTGAAAAATTGTTTTAAGAGAAAGATATAAATTTCAACCAAGAATAGTACAAACTGCTAGGACAATGAATGCCGAAGGCCTCTCTTATAATGAAACTGTTTTGAAAATTCAAGTCATGTACTTAAATAGCCTCGCCAGATCGAGACGTTCATGTCATCCATGGGGCCAAACCTTCAAGAAATATCAAAACTCTAAGCTGTATACAACAGCTTTCTCAGATGAATAGCTAAAAATGGCGTTGGGCGAATAAAAGCCGTGGATCTTGGCGAAGACCACACATCTTCGAATGTTATAGACTGGCGCTGCAGAATCACAAACAAAGAATGGTGCCAAATAACAGAAACCACATAATTTAAGGACTTCCAACAGCAGCAACAACAAAAATGGATAGCACATATAACCCGAAGAGAATAAAAATAATGACATAATCAAGATGTTGATGTTTCACATTACATCAGATAAAAGGTTAGGAAGATAACCCCCATCAATTCTGGAAAGAGCGATAACAGCTACTGGATTTAAGGAGTCTATTTTCTTGAAAAAATATTCTAAGAGAAAGATTTTATAAATTTCTACCAGCACTAGTACTTATAAGGAAACGTCTGCCATTGCCATAAAGAGGCTGATCAGAGTAAAGTGCTCAAACTTTATATTTTTTAAAAAGAGGAAGTATTTTGCTTTTGAAACCAAATTGTTCGTTCACTCTCCAGTAATTTGCAATCGCCCGAGGAGACGCATTGTTATGCGTTGAAACACGATTGCAATTGTATACCGATTCTTACAGGTTTTTGCTGTAATATCCTAAAATAAATAATTTTGTTCTACTATGTAATGAGCCCTCTTTTATGGAAGCGTGCTTTATTCATTGTCATCGTACCTATATATATATATATATATATATATATATATATATATATATATATACAGACATGACAGAATTGAATAGACGCTCACAGAAACCGTTTATTTTATTAAACAAGTAATTTATACAAATGAAGTAATTATAAATGGTCATAAATTTAATAACTAATACTTGGTTGACATCCCTTTTGCTTTTTTTAATGCAAGGACCCTTCTAGGCATGCTAGCGATGAGTTCACGAATATCATCTTGAAGGATTTCTTGCCATGTTTGACGCAATAATCCTAAAAGTTTGCACTTAGAAGATGGCGTCCTGTACTTTTTGCAGAGTTTTCGATCTAATATGCCCCAAAGGTGTTCATTAGGGTTAATATCCGGGGACTGACTTGGCCATAGAAGTTTATTGATCCCATTTTGTCTCAACCAATGTTGTGCTGCTTGAGCAGTGTGACATGGAGCTCCATCTTCCATAAATAGGGAGCCAACTTTGCTCATTCTACTACTTGAGAATATTGGAAGGAACCCTTTCTTTAATATAGAAGCATATTTGGTTGAATTAATGTTTCCTTCACACTCCACAAGCTCTGAGCGACCATCACTCCAAATTTTACCCCATACCAATCCTGAAAGGCCCCCATGTTTCACCTTTGGCTGCAGTCTTTTTAAATCAAACTCTTGACTACAGAGTCTCCATACCCATACTCTTCCACTGTCGGAGAATAATGCGAATCTTGACTCATCAGAGAAAATGATAGTGGTCTAAAAGGTCACAGGTCTCTCCGCCATCTCATGAGACCAATCCTTTCTGCGTTTGATATTGGCTGGACGGAGAAGTGGTTTCCTTCTCGCAGCTCTGCCATAGTAGCTCAGCTTGTGAAGATACCTGACAGCTGTTCTGGGACTGACATCAACTTGTGTTGCTAGGTCAGAGGTCTTGCAACGTGGATCCTGTTCAACATTTCTTTCGACAAGATGCATGGTTCTTTCAAAGGGCCCAGGGCGGCCTGGATGAGGTTTTGTTCACTTCTTGCCCTCTCTGATGAATTGTACGATCACTCTATTAACAGTAGAAAGGGGTATTGAAAGATTTTCAGATATTTTTCTTTGACTAATAAATTTATTTGTAACAAACAGTTTTTTCTGATGAAAAATTGAGGACAATTTGAAATATCAAATATATATATAAATAAATAAATACTCTCATAAAATAAAACATTATTATTTTTTAATTTGAAACTTTTTCTATATATACATATTAAGAAAGTATACGTGGCTTCTCATTATGCTATATATATATATATATATATATATATATATATATATATATATATATATATATATATATATTGCCTGGTGATGCTTTTTCTGGTGGGCTGCTGGATTATATAATTTAAAATGTGTGTGTATTTAGGCAGCAAATTCTCTTTTTAGGCATGTTTCATTAAATAAATTACAGATATTATGTCTGCTTATTTTTATTAAAATCCGATCCTTCTCACGGACATCTATCCGTGTATTGCAATGAAATGATGTGCTGAAATGCACTTGTCGTATATCAACATATATATTTGTTTTTCCGTCGGAGATTTGAATTGATATATATATATATATATATATATATATATATATATATATATATATATATATATATATGTTGCTTTTACGCAATACATCAGTTGGTGAGGAGGAGTTATTCCGGTTCTATTGTATTTTTTATAATATATGATTAATTTTATTTTTTTATTACGATTCAAGGAAGATATATATATTAGTACGAATGAAATCTTTTATGATTTTTTTTCATTCTGTTTGTAGTTAGCATGCACCTGCAATATATATATATATATATATATATATATATATATATATATATATATATATATATATATAAGTGAACATTGAAGTCAGCACTTAGAGGCGACAGGCTGTTTCATGCTAGACGCAATCGTCAGGCTACCTGACAATTGCGTCTAGCATTAAACGGCCTGTCGCTCTGAGTGTTGACTTCAACGTTCACTTTTAAATTTTCACCCGCTCTATCTCTGATATTGAGCACTTTATCCCATAAATATAGCACACCTTAAGAGTATATTTCTTCATATATATATATATAGATAGATAGATGAAAAGACAGATGAAAATACATAGATAGATAGATAGATAGAAAGATAGATGGATAGATACATGAACAATTTCTTTTAAATTCACCCACGGAGGAAATGTGACCATAGGAACTAGATATTTGCCTTTATTTTTAATAGTGAAACAACGCCAGAAAGAGAAAGCGGTTTAGTATATCTATTAGCAGTGATGACATTGATCCCACATCAAACGGGTCCACGAGACATGAAAAAGGCCCTCGACTCATCAGTCAGCCTGGAGGAACATTCCTCTCCGAGATGTCAATGTGATTATTTTTCTGCTTGAACGCCATTTTTTTTTGGTTTGTTTTGGTGAAGCTGCAGCATTTTCTTCTTTTCCCCTTGTCCGTTGATGTTCGTTATGTCTTGTGTTTGTCATAACAATGCGAAGACTATTGAGGACAGAGACGAGCCCAGCAGATTGTTTTTAGATCACTTGCTAAAAAGAAGCCCCTGGGTCGCTTGTGATTGATGCTGCAGCGACATACGCCGTTTTGTGATGGTGACGTTGTACCTCAAGTCGGCTGCTCATGCGTAGTTACACGCATTATGCAACTTCCTCTGATCAAGGAACATTGCATAGTTACGCAAAGATGGAGAATAGTACAAACAAACCGAGGGTGTTATCTATCTATCTATCTATCTATCTATCTATCTATCTATCTATCTATGTCTATTCATATCTATCTATCTATCTATCTATCTATCTATCTATCTATCTATCTCTCTATCTATCCGCTTTTTAATATCTATCTATCTATCTATCTATCTATATATACCTTTTCATATCTATCTATCTATCTATCTATCTATCTATCTATTTGCTTTTTAATATCTATCTATCTATCTATTATAACGCGTTTTGTAGTGCATATATAAGTAAGGTTTCGGCTACTTTGACGTCTGTATTAATTAATCTGAAGACTGACACCAACGACTTCTTTTGGTATTTACCAAACGTCCCCACAAAGCAGCATATTTATTACAACGTTTCGGCCTTTCAGTATCTGTCTATATTTCTGAGATGAGGTATTATGTACACTTTTTACATTATTCGGACTATTGTCCTCATCTTTGTTGCCATATTTATTACAACGTTTCGGCCTTTCAGTATCTGTCTATATTTCGGAGATGACATATTATGTACACTTTTTACATTATTCGGACTATTGTCCTCATCTTTGTCTCCATATTTATTACAACGTTTCGGCCTTTCAGTATCTGTCTATATTTCTGAGATGACATATTATGTACACTTTTTACATTATTCGGACTATTGTCCTCATCTTTATCGCCATATTTATCACAATGTTTCGGCCCTTCAGTATCTGTCTATATTTCTGAGATGAGGTATTATGTACACTATTTACATTATTCGGACTAAAAGATTCCATTTTCACAGTCGTAAGTTTTTAGAATTTCAAAAATGCGAATTTTTAACTGATAGTGTCTTGCTTTAAAACTTCAAATCCGCTAATCGCTACCTCTTTAGACCTTTCGATATGGATTTATAGAACATATTTCCTGGTCTATATTCAGGTTTCATCACTGGTCGCACTAAACTAAAGATGCGTGAACATATGCCATTATACATAACAAAGACCGTCTCCAAGCAAACAATAATGAACCTGCTGATGAGGAAATGAATAAAGTTATTAAAAAAAACAAAAAGAAAAACAACTAAGGAATAATAAAGCATCATTCGACATTGACGGAGATCTTTTGTAAATAGCTCGCTTTCTCCCCGAACCCAATAACAATTTTCTCAATTTTATAAAGGAAAGGATAGAAAAAATTATCTCTCAAAGCCATCACACATACAGAGTTATCTCAATTGCATCCATTATGGTGGAAGTATTAATGAACATTATATTAATTAGGCTTTCATCGATTTATTAAGTCCAACTCGTCACAACCCAGTATTGTTTCCGCTCTGGCAAGGGATGTAGTGATGATATATACCGGGTGTACCAAAATTGTCCAAAATGTTTAACAGCAAAATTGTCCAATTCTTAGATTAAGCTTAGAACCGTTGTATCTTACAAACGATTAAAGATGTCTTACTAAGATTTCTCTGACGTTTTTATAACACTATTGGAATCTATTTTGAACAATAAGAATATATTTAGCTCTAAGTTAAAATGATAATCCGTCTTGCTGTTGTGACCACCTGATCAAGTTTTCCTCTCTACTGCCCACTCTTTTTTTAAAACTTATTCACCGTTCCCTTGATGGTTTTCGAATGGATTTTGAAAATGGAAGCCAGAGTATGAATATGGGTACCATTACTGAAGACCTGAATGATCATTTTCCTCTAACCATTGTTCATTTGGGAAGATATAGTGGGACTGACACAAAACGAGTTTATCCTGTTCTCTTTCTAGCTGAATAATTCCAACTGTTTTTTATTGATTCTAACGACAAAGGATTTTTTTTTTTTAGATATTAAACATTTTGTGGAATGGACAGTTATGCTGTTACACGATTTGGACAATTTTACTGTGGCACTCGATATGTATGTATGTATATATATATATATATATATATATATATATATATATATATATATACACACATTTGAAATAATTATATCTATATATATAATTACTTCAAATGTGTTTGCATATATATATATATATATTTTTAGGCATTTAAAACAACATGCCTGCCCGCACACACAATTCCGTAAAATACTTGTCGAAAACACAACTATACTTCGACATGAAAACAATAGACAAAACTAAAAAATACTTGAAGCATTATACATCAAACAGTTAAAACCCAACCTAAACAAAATCAACTATGGAATCTCTACAAATATTCTTAAATGTCTATAATTTCTATAATTGGTAACAGAAGCCATTGGTTTATACCAACGGCTTTCCTTATTTCATTCTCCAATTCACTCTCGTGTAGTCATGTGTGACGTCATGAGATGCGGTGCGATTTTCGCTTCCAGCGTCTTATATGCGCGTGTTCATCGTTGCTTAGTGATCCACTATGTAAACTAAACAATGACAGACTATCATCACTGTCGTGTCCGTATATTGTTTGATATGTTTGTAATTACATCTTTGATAATGGCTTGAGTAAGCCGAAAGCTTAGATTATATTAAAAAATAATGGATAAATATTGTGAATTTTTTTTCGGTTAATGATAATGTTATCAAACTTATCAGAAGATACGAAAAATTTTACATAAAATAAATAGACAACACTTGTCTATATTATTTAATGAAACGTGTATAAATGAAAATATGCTAAATAAATATACACAATATATATATATATATATATATATATATATATATATATATATATATATATATATATACACATATATATATATATATATATATATATATATATATATATATATATATATATGTCTCGTTTTGAAGTATAGCAATTAAAATATAATATGATGCTGAAAAAGCTATTAAAATATGAATCAAATGGGCGCATCATTGTGCAAATCTCATTAAAATTGAGCACCCTCTAACAAATGTTCCAAGAAACAGGACACAATATAAACCTATTTACATTATTTATGTTACGGCCGTTATACACTCTGGCCTTCTTCAATAACATCATCATATCAAGATATTCATATGGATGTCATGCATAGTGCCATACCAGTTCAGAAATATCTCAAATGAATCAACTAATAGAAGACAACAATTCTGTTTTCCCTCCCATGGCAAATGCAGTGATGAGGAGGAGATGCTGATGACATAGGTATTCATAGTTGGGATAAGAATGACCATGAACAGAAAATAAAACTCCTCTGTCAAGTGTTCCAAGGAATGGAACTCAAGATAAACCTTTCCAAGACAGAAACAATAATCTAGAATTGGAATGAAAACAGTGATGGCAACTAGCTTGAATACATTATAAAAATTCAGGATCTGGAATTAGTATATATTGAACACTTCAAATACTCTTCTACTCCAATAGCTTCATGTCTCACACCTCTCGCTTGTGGAACTCCCTTCCCTATTCCAGTTTCCCTGAGAGCTATAATCTCCAACTATTCAAATGTAATGTCAATCGACATCTCCAGTTGCTTTGATCTATCCACTATCCTTCTCCTTTCCTCTATCACTCCTATCTGTGAAGAGAGAGGTACTGATCATTTAATTATTCAGTGCCACTTCTCAAATGAATCAACTAATAGAAGACAACAATCCTACTTTCCCTCCCAAAGCCAATGTAGTGATGAGAAGGAGATGCCAATGATATAGGAATTCATATTTGGGAGAAGAATGATCTTGAACAGAGAAAGCAGTGATGGCAACTATCCTGAATCCATTATAAAAATTAAGGCTGTGAAATTAGTAAATATTAAACACTTCAAATACTTCGGCGTATTGATCAGTTCAAGAAAATTTAGTATAGGAGAAAAGAAAACTGTGCCAGTGTTAGTTTCGCCCAATACCTCAAATTACTTCAAGACCAAAACATCAACCTGAAAACTTGAGTCACGTCCTTAAATAACATCGTTAGATCGATATTTTCATATGGTCATCACGAAACGCAGAGTCTGTCTATATTTCTGAGATGAGGTATTATGTACACTATTTACATTATTCGAACTATTGTCCTCATCTTTGTCGCCATATTTATCACAACGTTTCGGCCTTTCAGTATCTGTCTATATTTCTGAGATGAGGTATTATGTACACTATTTACATTATTCGGACTATTGTCCTCATCTTTGTCGCCATATTTATTACAACGTTTCGGCCTTTCAGTATCTGTCTATATTTCTGAGATGAGGTATTATGTACAGTATTTACATTATTCGGACTATTGTCCTCATCTTTGTCGCCATATTTATTACAACGTTTCGGCCCTTCAGTTCTGTCTATATTTCTGAGATGAGGTATTATATACACTATTTACATTATTCGGACTATTGTCCTCATCTTTTGTCGCCATATTTATTACAACGTTTCGGCCCTTCAGTTCTGTCTATATTTCTGAGATGAGGTATTATATACACTATTTACATTAGTCGGACTATTGTCCTCATCTTTGTCGCCATATTTATTACAACGTTTCGGCCTTTCAGTATCTGTCTATATTTCTGAGATGAGGTATTATGTACACTATTTACATTAGTCGGACTATTGTCCTCATCTTTGTCGCCATATTTGTCACAATGGCACAGTGGATAAAGATAAAGTGGTTAGATCCAGTGACAGACTCAGAGAAGGTGAGTTCAATTCCTGGTTAAGGCAGTGGAGAACTTTCAGAGGGAAAATTAACATGAGGTAACTGATAACTGACGTTCATTAAACATGGCACGTGGAACAGTCTACCCCAGTGATCGAAATAAAGGGTTCAGTTCGAAATTCCAACCACCTGAAGAAGGCCGGAGCGTACAACGGCCGAAACGTTGTGACAAATATGGCGACAAAGATGAGGACAATAGTCCGACTAATCTAAATACTGTATCACGAAACACATTCAGAAATATCAATCGATTTCTAAAATCAGTGGTTAAAATGGATTTGAGTGAGTGAAACGTGAGGGTCTTAGCGAAAGACCATTTTTCTTTAAACAATGTAGACTGGTGGAACAGAATCAAAAACGAAGAAATGTGCCAAATAAATCCCAACACTTCAGGACTAACAATAGCAGCAACAGCTGAAATGGATAGAACGTGTAACTTGAAGGGAAAATAATGACATAACCAAGATGTTGATGTTCCACACTACTTCAAACAAAAGGTGAGGAAGGAAAATCCCGTAAATACTGGAAATATTCATCAAAGTTAATGGAATATCATAAATACTAAACACTCGAAATTCATCGGTGTATAGATCAGTTATAACAAATTTAGTACATGAGATAAGAAAATTGACCACAGAATACGCTGCGCCGGAGATAGTTTCACACAATACCGCAAGTTGTTGCAAAACACAAATATTAACCTGAACAATCGAGACATATTCTTAAATAGCCTCATTAGATCGAGACATTAATATGGATGTCATGCAAAGAGTCAAACTTGTTCAGAAGTATCTAGACTGTCAGCTGTATGTAACCACTTTCTAAGATCAATGGTTAAAATGGCTTTGAGCAAGTGAATCTTTGCAAATATTGTTCCACTTTGAACTTTGCGGACTGGCGCTACGCAGTCACAAAAAATAACTGCACCAAATAAGAAAAACATTATTTAAGGACATTCAACAGCAGCAACAACTTAAATGGATATCATATGTAACTGGATGAAAAAAAAATAATCAAGATGTTGTTCCACTAACTAAAATAAACGGTTAGGAAGGAAACTCTCATCAATATTGTTTCGAGTGATAATAGGGACAGAACTTGAGAAACTTATTTTTTTTTTAAATATTGTTTAAAGGGAAAGACTTTTATAAATTTCAACCGAGAAAAGTACTAGTTGCACGGTCAATGTTTCCTTACAATGAAAAGGTTAATATTACCATCGACATTATCCTTCCGTGTCAATATCCACGGTTTAAGTCGACGCTTTGCTACAGAGTATGCTTTAAGGAAGACATAAGTTCTTTGGATGTTACTTAATGACAAGACAAGGGATGAAAGTTAGTGGAACGTATTTAGGCACTGAACGACTCGTGGTGATTGCCAAGCAGAACTATTTACACAGCCAGCTCTCACACGAAACCGAGGCTGCAGAGCAAGGCCAAATATTATTACAACGACGTCTATCGGCTCCAAATGGAAAGAGAATCAGGAACCAGTGGGGAAACAATAAGACAAACAAATACCGGTAGCGTAAACAGCAGGGGAGGCGTTATTAACGATATCTTCGAACATTTTGGAGGGCATTCTAACGAAGGTCGGGGTTCTGACAGTTGATGTCGCTTAGACACGGAGTTATTTCTTGGTTAATTCATATTCCAGCAGCCTTGCGTAAGCACAACGCTTTAAATGGGGCGTATACAACATTTGTTTTTATTGGAATATATATATATATATATATATATATATATATATATATGTGTGTGTGTGTGTGTGTGTGTGTGCGTCGTGGTGAAAGGTTGTCGGCCCGGCCAGGAAGAAAGGGCCCAGAACTGTGAAACTTATATATGTTCTTTGACAGACTCAGTATAGCGTTTTCTCAGGCTTCTTTAAACTTTAAAATATTCCAGCGTTCGGTCATCGAAATACTTATTTTGGCTTGTAATACAGACGAAGGAATTTTCAGCACACCTCATATCTATCTATCTATCTATCTATCTATCTATCTATCTATCTATCTATCTATCCTCATGTGTCTAGTATATCCCACTTCTTTTATTTCTCGTCTCGTTGAAAAAGGATACAGGCGTGTCCGAAAATTCCGTCTTTAAAATCTTTCTTTTCGTGCTTCAATTCAGTTAAAAGACCTACTAATTTATAAAATATGTCATATATATATATATATATATATATATATATATATATATATATATATATATATATATTATATGAAAATTTCTAGAAAATTCAGGCCGGTAAATGTTGTGAATACTGTTTTATTATAAACAGAGCATTTACTTAAATATTTGTATCTATAAAATAACGTATAAAAAATCTTTTAATATATATATATATATATATATATTGGTGCATAATTATCAGGCGTTCTTGTATTCGAGTTATTTGTTAATAAAAATAGCTCTTTTTTTACTTTTTTAATAAAAATATTATTTTATTTTCAGGTTATAAAAATGCCTGTCGATTCATACGTCCCTCTTTTACACAAGTTTCATTAAAGGCGACTGACAAGGTACTGCGATTAAGCATTTATTCAATGTTACTTGGGTACGTGCAATTTTACCAACTTCAAATTCAGTTATATAACTAAATTAAAAGCACCAGTTCCAAAATTCGCTTGAAAATAAAACAGTAGTGCTTTTAATCTAATTATATAATTGAATTTGAAGTTGTTAGTTTCTGTTATTGAAACATGGTAATTCCTGTGTAGCGATGGAATCATATTTTTTAAATCAATTAATTTATATTATTTACGCTCTGTAAATTTACACTGAGCACTTTGTAAAATAAAATCATCAATCACCGGATTGTATATCTTACTGTTCTTTTCTTTTTTCTATAATATTTTTATATATATATATATATATATATATATATATATATATATATATATATATATATAGTCTGAGGAGTATTTATTTTATATATTTATCAAAATTTGTGCAATTTGCGAGTAGGTGACCTATATCTTGAGTTCGGTTCCTTTGCATCCAATATCGATTTCCTTTGATGAAGCAAGCATAACATACGCAGGCTTGCAGTTATAAATGTATGTGCAGCTGGTGTAATGTATAGCGGTTCGGAAAGAGATATCGGAGAGGCGAGTTCGAATTCCAGTCGGATTCGTCACATTCCCTTAGGAAAAGTAGGAATCCCTGTCGTTTACCCTCCAAATGCGTCTTGTACCTAGAGAAAATAGTTACTCTTATAATCCAAGGTATATGTCGGCTTTAAATAACCCACAAACGTGATTTTAGCTATTCGGCCTCAAACAATTTTCTGGTTTGCATGGCCCGAATTACTGTTTTATTAACTCACACCTTCGACGATTTTTCCCGAGCGATCACACCAGCTCACGAAACGTACCTTAACGTAAACAATGAGAACATATTATGAAATTGATTTACTTAAATATATTATATCTATAAAAATAACGTATAAACAGAAACTCTCTCCCCCTCTCTCTCGCTCTCTCTCTCTCTATATATATATATATATTGGTATTATTAGTGGTCCAATATATATATATATATATATATATATATATATATATATATATATAATATTAGTGGTAAATATACACATACATATGCAATCATATATATAAAATATATAAATATATATACATATATACATATATATATGTATAAGAAATAATTCCAAGCGGATAGAATCCATGTAGAACTCAATGTCCAGGACAGAGTAAGGATATAATAAAAAGGCTTAAACACTAATATTCCATGGTCATAATTTATTCCATTGGAATCGTAAATACGATCCAATTCATCAGACCTACAAATTCAAAAAGAAAACAGAAAAAACAACTCCGGCAATAAAAAATAAAATTTAATGAGGGTGTATGTATGAGAGTGTGAGACGAATGTTAGAGTAAATGAAAGCTATAGGGAGGGGTAACAGACGAGAGAAGAACAGGAAGGTCTAAAGATGAAGGGGGGGGATTAGAATTTAACAGAGAGAAGTTTTAAAGAGGGGCGGCAAAGACGGTTTAAGTGAGAGAAATATGAATATTCTCGGATGTCTAATACATTAAAGATTTACCGTAAAAGAGTTTACATTTTGTGGTGACATACACACACTATAGACGATATAATCTTAAAGATCAGAAGATGAAAGAGGGAGTGGAGAAGAAAAGAAAAAGGGTTGGGGAGAGAGATGGGGCGGGCTTGTACTAAATCCAAAGGGCATTTATAAAAGAGCCACCGTGTAATCAAGAAAATTTGACAAAATTAATATATACATACAAAATTAATATATACATACAAAATTAATATATACATACAAAATTAATATATGCATACAAAATTAATATATACATACAAAATTAATATATGCATACAAAATTAATATATACATACAAAATTAATATATGCATACAAAATTAATATATACATACAAAATTAATATATGCATACAAAATTAATATATGCATACAAAATTAATATATACATACAAAATTAATATATACATACACAAATTTCGAAGAGGATAGAATCCAGGTAGAACTAAATATCCAGGACAGAGTAAGAATATAATATAAATAGTGTTTGAGGCTTATATATATATATATATATATATATAACAAAGTATATAATTGGTATACACGGAATGAATTCCAATAACCAACAATTACTATTCTTAAAAGAGTGCTCACATTTATCTGTGTGTGTATAAGTGTTAGTTTCCACGTCTCCTTTTTTCATAAAGGGCTGTAGAGATGTTCATGTATTCCCCACACCTCTCCTTTTTTTAGTGTGTGTGTATGTTTGTGTGTGTGTGTGTATGTGTGTGTGTGTGTGTATATGTGTGTGTATCTAATTATGTCTGGATGCTTATGTATTATAATCTGATTGTGTTTTTGTTGTGTCACACGTGAGTTTAAGACCATATTCACAAACTTTAAAATAAAAACGGAAAAGAAGGGAAAAAGAGAAAAAATATATATACATGTATTATCAAATGACCGGATGTATTGTAGCGTCTGGTCTTCTCGAACGTAATTTCAATGAAGAAATTTGGTTTTTAAAAATTGCCAGTTTTTAATTTTAATATTAAATTTTATCATGTAAATTTATAATTATTAGTTAGTATAAATTATTTTTAATATTACACGTATTTAAAGATATGAATAGCTATTAGAGCAGGATTTCGTTGTCAAGCTTTTTGAATCTTTCTATACTTCGTTTTTTGATTGGTTATTCTAGCTTTTGTAACAATGTTTCCCCCCCAGTGTAGGATCGTTAATTAATCTGAAACTTTTTTAAAACCATTTATTTTCTTTTCAACATCATCACTTGATAAGACACAGAGTGTGTTGAAACAAAATGGCTATTTTTGTAGTGATTTTATAACATACTTATGTTATAATTTTTTTATAAAAATAATTATATATATATATATATATATATATAATGTATATTTGGGTAGCAGGCTTTCTTTTAAATATGTTTCGTTGAATATGGCAGACAAGGAAATTTTCTTACCTTTTTCCATTTGGTGGAAGTAAGAGAGTGCAGAAATTGTTCATTGTCTCAAGAGTTTTATGCCAATTCTTTATTTATTTCCAACTGGGCTTGTTTTTGAGTGTTCTTAATTTCTCTTCATGGTATCCAAAGGAAGTAAATATGAATAATCGAGAAATTTCGTAGAAAATACCACCTCTCTGAAAGGAATCGAATCTATAACCATTTAGCCACCAAAGTCGTCTGGTTAGCAAATTCCAAATTACTGTTTATAAAGAAACACCTTCGACGATTTTTGTCGATCGATCATATCAGCTCACGAAACTTATCTTAACGTAAACAATGACAACATATTATGAAATGGATTAAATTCGGCAGTTATTTAGTATAGTTTCAGTTTAACAATTTTACGTTCAATGATAGCTGTGATAACATATAGCCATTTGTCAAAAGCAGCTGATTAATTTTCATAAGCTTCGGCGCGAAGCCTCAACTCAGAACACAACACGGTGTGTAAGAGTATTGATAAGGCTGATTTACCTGGTTTTGGGAGCAAATAAAACCCAACTGTGGGTTTCCGATACACACTAGTGAGAAAACCCTTTAATAAATAAATTGTCGGACTTTGTCGGACTTTGTCCATTTCTTAATATATATATATATATATATATATATATATATAATATTATCCATCTATATATATATATATATATATATATATATATATATATATATATATATATATATATATATATATATATATATATATATATATATATATATATATATATTAATGAAACAGATACAAAAGTATCACAACGATTAAAATTTAGGCACCTTTCGGCAGACACGTTCTTTTTATAGATACAAGTATTTAAGTAAATGCTCTGTTTATAATAAACAGTATTAAATAACATTTGGCTTGAATGTCGAAATTTTTCATAGAAAATATTCGTTCTTTGACAAGATTCGAACCTGCATCCTATACGGAACGGTCATTTACGCTGACGTGCCTTACCGATCGGCCACAAAGAAGCGTACGAGATTCATGGAAGATTGAAGTTTATAAGCAGTAAATTCAACCTTGCCAACCGAACGATCCTTTTTGTGGCCGAGCGGTCAAGGCACGTCAGCGTAAATGACGGTTCCGTATAGGATGCAGGTTCGAATCCTGTCAAAGAACAAATATTTTCTATGAAAATTTCTCGGACATTCAAACAGAGCATTTACTTAAATACTTGTATCTATAAAAAGAACGTTAAACATAAAAATGTCTTTAATATATATATAAATTCTCAAGAGGATAGAATCCAGGTAGAGCTAAATGTCCAGGACAGAGTAAGAATATAATATAAAAGGCTCAAACACTAATATTCCATGGTTATAATTTATTTTTCCAATGTAATGAATTATAACCATGGAATATCAGTGTTTGAGCCTTATATATATATATATATATATATATATATATATATATATATATATATATATATATATATATATATAGTCACCCACAAACGGACTTTTTGTTGTATAGTAGC